AAATTCACTTTCCATACAGTAGTTCACATATACTTTGTCTCATGACATTGACTACAATTTCCCAAAATGCAATAGCTCCCCTCCCACTTCCTCCCCATGTTACCTCTTCCCTGTGTGCTTCCGTCCATGCACTCCTGCCCCCCAGATGTCTCCCTGTGCATACACAGTCCTTCTATTCCCCGATGATTTTTTTTTAAATTGTGATTTGGGTGAAAATTTACAGAGCAAATTCACTTTCCATACAGCAGTTCATATACACTTTGTCTCGTGACATTGACTACAATTTACTCCAATGCAACAACTCCCCTCCCACTTCCTCCCGATAATTACCACTTCCCAGTGTCCATCGCTCCATGCCCTCCTGCCCCCTGAGCTGTCTCCCTGTGCATAAACAGCCCTTCTTTCTCCATGATTGTTCTCTCCAAGGAGTGTATCTACCTCAGGTAAATGTTCAACTCATATGCCAGTCTTAGAACAACTGTTTCTAACCACATGTTTCAAAGAAAAAAGTAAAAGAAACAGGTGATGTTAATTTTAGGAACCTATTTCATCTAATGGAGTATATTCACAATATTAACATTTCAACATGTGATCAATAAAAAAATGAGATATTTTACATTCTGTTTTTCAGACTAAATTCTCAAAATCTTACATATCTTTTACACTTACAACCCATCTCATTTCAGGCTGGCTGCATTTCAGGTGCTCATTGAGTAGTACAAGGCTTGAGCATCTAAACAGTTCCAGTTCCCAAGGGCATGCATGCAAAAGTGTAAGGTTCAAGCCCAGCTCTGATCAGGTAAGTGCATGCTCCTATAATGGTTTATTCATTCCATGGGTGTTAGTCGAGTATCATGCACCAAATACCACTTAAGAGGCCTAGAATTTTCTAGGTCACTAAAATCATGGTGTAATGTTTCAATTAAAACACAACAACCTCTGTATACATTCACTAGTTGCTGTTGGGTCAAACCCAACTCGTAGTGATTTCATGGGTGTCACAGTGTAGAACTGTGCTCCATAGAGTTTTTGGAAGCAGATGGCCAGACTTTTCTTCCCAGGGACCTCTGGGTGGACTGGAACATGCAGCCTTCGGTTGGCAGTCAAGTGTGTTAACTGTGCTTGCACCACCCATGGACTCCATGGGACACTTTGTAACCTCTTGGTTAGTTAGTACTCAAGTGCTGGACCACTGGTGCCACCCAGAGACTCCGGTGTATACATTAGACATCTGTATACAGTAGCCGCAGTTTTTGGTATAAATTATGAAACCCCAGGAAATAACCTCAGGAAATACCCAGGAGGCACACATCTCTGCAGGGTGTGTTGCCTTCTCTGTAAATGTGTCAACTGTGGCTTGATGTCTGGGGTTGATTACATGTGGTTCCCAGGCAGTTCCTGAAGAGTGGGACACTTGACAGCTGGGAGCGTGCTGGAGCAGATAATAAACCCACCAGCTCATGCACCTGATACACCACAAAGAAACCTCGTCTCACATCTTGAAAACTGCAGAACTGCAAAATCCTGACACAGATTCTCTAGTTTAATATTCTTTGGTTGATTCAGTGGCTTTCCGGCTTTTCATTTAATTTGGTGGCACTTTGAAAGTGGAGCTCCTGGAGGTCTGTTTGCTGACCGCTAAAGAACTATTAATCCCTTCTCCAAATAGCACTTGGTCTGTCTTAAGTGAACTTTCTAGCAATACAAGAACCTGCAACGTTCCAGGAAACCGTGATTATGAGCAAATTGCATCTGCTTTTGTCTTTATCGTGAAAAGGAAATTGAAATTTGCGGCCATACATTCTAAGAACCTGGTTTGAAGTTTGTTCTGTTTGAACTTCAGAATCCCTTAATACCTTGGCTGACTCTGATGAAAGATACATTCCTGCAAGTCAAGCAGAATGAGCCCAACTCTCCTTTAGGAAGCTCTCAGCCTACTCTGCCCGGGAATCATAAACTAAGGATCGCTCTAGCACAGTGGTTCTCAGCTGGCGGCGATCTCCCCAGGGGATACTGGGCAATGTCCAGAGACATTCTGGGTTGTCACAACGGGGGAGATGGCTGCTACTAGCATCTAGTTGGTAGAGACCAGGAATGCTGCTAACCATCCTACAGTGCACAGGACAGCCCCCACCCCAACAAATAAGCATCCAGCCCTCAGTATTGGATTACCCAATCAGCAAGGTAAGCACGGGCTTACTTGTGCTTACTTACTAATCGGTAGTGAACAATTTTTTTTAACCACATCAAAGATTCTGCTTCTAGGGATGGCTGCCATCTGTCTCTCTCCCAGCCCTATAGCACCTTCCTAGAGAATCAAAGCCTCCTTTCAAATGTACCGTCCCTGTCAGGGACAGGAGGGGTACTCTGACCTTGCTCACTTGCTTACCGGGGAATCCACTCCTGCCAGCCTCAAAAGTCAATGGTTCCAGATGAGGAAACTCTGACCCCGTGGACATCTAGGTACCAAGCAAGGCATCCACACCAAACCAAACTCAGTACCGTCGAGTTGGACCCCACTTATAGCGACCCCTCCTTGGGTTTCGGAGGCGGTATCACTATGGAAGTAGATTGCCCAACCTTCCTTCTGAGGAGTGGCTGGTGGTTTGAACCGCCAGCTTTCTGGTTAGTAGTCAAATGCCTTAGGCACTATGCTACCAGAGCTCCCAAGCAGCCAGCAAAGTAGGAAGTCTTGTCCAGTGGACATTTCTCAAGAGCCCACTTCAGTGTACTGGTTAAGAGCAGGAACTTGGTCCAGACTGCCTGGGTTTGAATCCTAGTTCCATCACTTACTGGCTGTGCCACCTCTGGCCAATTACTCAACCTCTCTGTGCCTCATTTTCTAATAGTACCTTCTACACAGGGGTGTTAGGAAGTATAAATGGGTTAATATTCTCAACGTGCTTAGAACAGTGCCAGGTCCACAGTGAGCATGACCTAAGTGAGTGTTTACTAGGGGCTTTTGGAAAATAAGTTCTTGGAAAAGTCAGTTTCAGGACTTAGAAAAGTTGATGGGTAGTAAGGAAATGGTTTCGGACTCTGCATTGCCATAAGAGGAACAGGTGGATTTCATGTGACAACTCCACTTTCTCTTCCCAATTCAAGGACCCTCATCAGAGAGGCAGCAGCCAGTATAAGAGGCTGCATCGGGCCGGCTCAGCCCAAGCGCAGCTAACCATAAAGTCCGTGGGTTTCTTACCCTACTTGCACAGCAAAAAGAGTGACTGACAACCAGTTGGAGCCCTCTGGATAAATGGAGAACACAGAACTGCACAGATGCAGCGCCCCGCGCCCACTACACACATGCTTCCACACCCGCCCCTGCAGTCGAGGTCTGCAGAGCACCAAGCCGGCACCTACTCACAGGTCAGCGCCCAGCCTCCCTCCAGTAACCCGCCACACGCAGCCAGGTGGGACTCAGCTGATGCAAGGGGCACTGGGTGCAAAAACTCTCCAAATTGGCGCGGGAGGGAAGCCGGGGTGCGCTCACGGCCTCGGAGCCTTGCAGGAAATTCCGTCTCAGCGTGCACACACACACACACACACACACATACGCGCAGGGGTGCCTAGAGGGACCCGGGACAAAGAGAAGGGGCCCATCGCCAGCTAGCCACTCACCTGGCCGCGCTCCCTAATCCACCTGCCACCCAGGGTAGCAGCAGCGGGAGCGCGAGCCCCCAGGGCGGCCGCATCTTGGCGCTGGGCCTCCCTCCTCTGTCACGATCTCCTGCTCTTCCTCCTGCACCCTCTCGGGAGGGCTCCTTGCCGCGGGATCCCGGCGCAGTGCGGCCACCGCCTGCTCGCTCCGCGGCCGGTTTGGGCTCCACTCCTCCCGCAGCCCCCAGGGCCAGGCACTGCGACGCGGCGCGCGCGGCTTGGAAGAGGTTTGGGGCGCTGGGTCAGGCGCGCAGCGGCTCCTCTGCGGGCGAAGCAGCCCGGGGCGAGCCAACCAGGGAGGGCGGGCCGTGCACCTCTAGCTGGGACCCGCCTCCAGCAGGACCCGCGCATCCTCTGCTCTCTCTGTTCACCAGAAACGTTGCCCAGATTCGGTTCAGTCCTCTCCAGTCGGAGTCACCAAGTACCTTCAACTATTTCAACCGCAGAACTAGTTTGGGTGGTACCTGCTCTGGAGAACCTAAGAATTTAGTTGAGAAGTCAAAGCGGGAACCAGGGATGCATATTCCGAACGAAACTGCTACTTTACTTCTGCTTAAGTCTTTAATACTCTGCCGGGTTTGCTGCCACGAACTTCAGATCCTAGAGTGTTGGAGCGGGAAGGGCACCAAGTCCTTGGACAACCCCTTCATTTGACAGTTGAACTCTCCATGCTCATTCCCAACAGCCTACTTATGTGGGACCACAAGATGAAATTCTAATGCATTAATTGAACGGTTGCAGTAACTGATGGCCAAAACAGGAATGCTATAGAATCCAGAGACTTCATTAGAGTACTTAAGTGTTGTTTGTTCTGACAAGTCGTATTATGGTGGGATGAATGATTTGTCCCTCCTTCGCTCCCTTGGGCAAATGTCCTCTTGTAGCTTCAAGGTGGACAGAGTGTATGGCCTTGCCTCTTGACTTTGGGCTTGGCTATGTGACTTACCCATAGCGTGTAGGCAGAAGTTCGAGTGTGCCAGTTTCAAGTCTAGACTTTAGACACCTGAGCCTCTATCATAGATATGGAAAAAAAATAAAAACAAAAACATGTCATAGCTAGCATGGTGGCTCAAGGAGTTTGAAGGACAGGTGCAACAGTTATACCTATAGCTTGAAGCAGAGCCACTTAGTCGAGCCTGGTGTATATTAGGCCACTGGAAGACACATGAGTGAGCTCAGCTCAGATCTGCAGTGCCGGCCAAGCTTCCAAAGCTTGTGGTGATTGTTTGCTATTCAGCAATAGCTAGCTGACACACCTACGAACTAGTGTTAGAAATAAAATGATAAAGATGAAGAATGTGGAGAAAGAGGAGGTTTGTCTTGATTACAGGCTTGATTCATGGGTATATAATGGGCATTTGTGTTGATTCTGGCCAATGAAATGTGAGAAGTGGGGAAGTGAGGATGGGGGAGATTCTTACTACAGATTCTTACTGTAGGCCATAATAGATGTCATTCTTATGTAAGACACTTTTAGTTGGATCTTCTGTTTTACAGTTGAAAGGATCCTAATGGAGTCAATGTCCTTGGTCAATAATCTAGGCCACTGAGCTGTTCATAGCTAACAGTGACAAGCATCACCCTAAATATTTTACTGGTGTTATCTATCAATTACCCACAACTCTCTGGGTAAACCAGTGGCCATTGAGTCAACTCTAACTAATAGCAACTGACTCCCTAGGTAGTACAAACAGTTAACACACTCAGTTGCTAACTGAAAGGTTGATGGTTTGAATCCACCCAGAGGTGCCTTGGAAGTGAGGCCTGATTATCTTCTTCCAAAAAAACCAGCCACTGAAAGCCCTTGGGGCCCAGTTCTACTCTGATACAGATAAGGTCGCCAACTCTATGGGTAAGGTCCATTAGTTCCCCCATTTTAGAAGCATCAAGAAAGTCAGGGTCAGAGAGGTTAAGTGACTTGTCCAAGGTAGTACAACTAACAAAAGTAGAACTGAGATTTGAAGCCAAGGCTCTTCTCCACTGAGCTCTGTTGCTATTATTTAAAACCTCTTTCTCAAC